AAAGGAGGAGGACCCAGATGCTGCTACTCTGCCAGGAATGACATACACCAGTTCACATTGTATAGTCTCTGCTCCCCCTCACCTCCACTCCCTTCCCACTGCCTCCTCACACGTCACGTCACGCATGCTCGGGAGTGACAGCGATCGTTGCTGACGGCTTTGCTGCGTCGGCCATCTTTGAGCAGCTCGCTGGCCAGCTGCCTCGCCCGGACATTGTGGGCAAGGTCAAGGGCGTGTACCTGTTCAACCTCAAGGCTGGCAAGACCAAGCAGGCGTGGACGGTCGATCTCAAGAACGGCGGCGGATCGGTGGCCAAAGGCAAGGTCGGCAAGGCAGACTGCACCATCTCCATGTCTGACGCCGACTTTGTTGATCTCATGGCCGGCAAGCTCGACGGAACCGAGGCGTACATGGCCGGCAAGCTCCGCCTCAAGGGCGACATGGGCCTTGCCATGAAGCTCACCGTTCTTCAGACCGAGGCCAAGAAGGCCCACGCCGCCGGCCCGTCCGCCGCTGCTTCATCTTCGGCCGCTTCGTCGCTCGCCGCCGATGGCTTCCAGGCCGGTGCGGTCTTTGACGAGCTTGCGTCACGGCTGGCGTCGTCACCCGAGCTGGTCAGCAAGATCAAGGGCGTGTTCCTCTTCAACCTCAAGGCCGGCAAGGTCAAGCAGGCTTGGACCGTCGACCTCAAGAACGGCGCCGGCTCCATCGTCAAGGGCAAGGCCGGCAAGGCCGATTGCACTGTCACCATGTCTGACGCCGACTTTATCGATCTTATGACCGGCAAGCTCGACGGGACTCAGGCGTACATGGCCGGCAAGCTCCGCCTCAAGGGCGACATGGGCCTCGCCATGAAACTCTCGCTCCTCGGCGACGCCAACAAGTCCAAGCTGTAGCACCTCTCTGTCAAACAACATGATTGCATCCTATCCTGGCGCGTCTTCATTCAGCCTTGGCCTCGCCAGTCACCCCTTCTTCGACGACGGCCTCCTCGCCCGGCGCCGTGCCCCGGAACCGCGGCTTGCCGAGCGTGACCGCCACACCGTGCCGGATTGCGTCGCGAAGGTGGTGCCGGAACCGCCGCCGGGTCCATCGCGCCTGCCGCGCCGCCTCGTCGAGGCACATTCGCACCATGTACGAGAGCACGTCAAAGGTGACCTGCTGCCCGCGCACCAGCAGCTCCGGCCCGCACACCGAGACTGCCGCTGCGTCGTAGTAGTCGCGCCGAAGCTGCGCCGACGCACACTCGGCCAGCGCCCGCCGCGCGAGCACTCCAGGCGCGTTCTCTAGCATTACATGCGGCGGAACGAGAGCCTGCGGCCAGGTAGCCATTGCTGCTGCCGCCGCGGCGCACTGCATCGCCTGGCGGAGCATGACATCGGCGTGGGCGGGCTCCGGCATGCCTGTCGCCGGTACCCGATCTGCCCACGAGCCCACTGCTGCCAACCGTGCAAGCGCTCCAGCTGTGGTCGTGTCTGGCGGCGCAATGGCCTCGACGTAGCTTGCGGTCACCGTCTCCAGCTTGGTCGCGCCGCCTGCACCGACGACCTCGCTCGCTGCCGCGCGCTCCCACAGCGGGACCGCCACAACGTGGCCAGCGTTCGGCCCGCACGAGCACGCTGTGTGCTGGATCCAGAACTGCAGCTGCTGCAGGCATGCCCGCACGTCACATCCGCACGACTCGACAAGCAACTCGACGTCGCGGCGAAGGAGCGTGACCCCAGCCATCAGCGCAATGAGCTGGAGATGCAGCGCCAGCGACGGGACCCGAACCTGCTCCATGGCGAGCGTGTGATACGAGCACCGCAGGCCGTCCATCTCGGGCGGCACAGCGTTGCAAGTCAGCAGAATCGGCTGCTTCGATTGCGTCACCAGCGTGTCGAGTGCCGTCCAGAACCCGCGGTCGTCGTCAAAGAGCACGTCGACCTCTTCAAAGAGCAGGATGGTCTTGACCGGCGGCTCCCGCTTGGGTGCGGCTGCCGGCTTGACCGGCTTGGCGACCGGCGCGCCGCCAAAGAACGGCGCCAGCGGCGAGCTTCCGGTCGATGCTGGCGTCGGCGACGGCGTTGCTCGCGCGCCAAACAGCGAGTGCGACCGCGTCGCCTCGCCGAACCTCGAGAGGATCTTGTGGCCCGACCGCAGTTCGCCCGGCCCGACCTCAATGACTCGGTACCCGAGCTTGGCCGCCAGCGAGTACACCACCTGGGTCTTTCCCGTTCCCAGCGCGCCCTGAAGAACGAGGACATCAGCGGTGGTCAGCTCCATCATTGCCCGCTCGAGCTCGTCCACGTCCGGCGACGCCGGCGACCACATCCCGTACAGCTGGTCCAGCTGCATCCGCTTAAACGTGCGCCGCGACTTGTCCTGCTTCCGCTGCCGCCGCTTGAGATTGGCCCAGTCGACGAGCCAGCTCTCAACGAGCTGTGCAACCTCGTCGGCGCACAGTGCCGCGCCCAGTGCCGCCGGCGTGTAGACGTCGACCCACTGCGCGTTGACCGCCCCAGCCTCGGCCGCTCCGCGATACATGGCTACGTACGACGCCATCTCCCGCGGGTCGACGTCGTACTCAACACACAGCGTGTCGATGACTGCAGCCATGTCCACGCACATCTCGCCGCTGCCGTTGTCGTCATCGTCGTCGGACACCAGGTCCAGCACTCGGGCATTGCCGCGCCAAGTAGCTCCTTCTGACAGGCTGCTGACAAACCTGGCCTGAGCCGCCCGCGCCACCGCCACACTCGGTACCTCGACCATGTCGGGAATAGCCGGCATGCCGGCCATGGCCGGACTTGGTGCGATTCGCGAGGCGTCCGGCTCCAGCTGCCGCACGTGGTTGGCAGGGCCGGCCGGCCACGGCGCGAGCGGCAGCGCCTCTAGCTCGGCTGGCGAGTAGCACGCGACCCGTCCAGGGACGGCGCTGCCAGGCTGCGGCTTCTGGGTAAAGACGGCGGCTATTGCGGTTGTTGCACCAAACGCCGAGTTGATATGCGCCACATCCTCGGCGTACCGCGCCTTTGCCTTGCGCAGCGCCCGCTGCTGATCCCGCAGCTTCTTGGCCTTGCGCTGCGCCGGAGTGAGGAAGAACGCGGCAGGCGACGGCGGCCCGCTGCTTGTCCCCACCTCGTCGTCCTCAGAACTGCCGGTCGTCTCCTCATCGACAACGCTGTCAGTGCCACCGCCCCCAGCGGGCAGCGACATGCGCTCTGCACTGGCCTTGCCACTTCCGCCGATAAAGGCGGTGAGCTTGGGCTGATGCGATGAGCCCAGCGCCTTGTTCCGTTTGCTCACCTCGTCGGCCTCGATCTCAAAGGCCAGCGTCCGCTTCCGCTTCCGCTTCTGCTTCGGACCCGATTTGGCCCGCGACCGACGCGAGGAAGCAAGGACCAGCGGGCTCTCCTCGACGACCACCACATCCGACTCTGACGAGAGCGCAATGACCGGTGTCGGCGACGAGCCGATGACCACTACGCCAGAAGTGAGGGCACCCGAGCCAGCCACCGAGTCTTGAACGATCGGATGTAAGGGAGATGACGTAGGCGATGAGTCTCCATGCTCAACAGTCTGCGAAGAGCCACCAGGGGAAGAGCTCGGCTTGTTGTCCATGTCTGATGGTGTAGATGAGCTGGCCATGAGTGAGGCAAAGGCGCACCGTGGCATGATTCTACCCCCGTCTTGCTCAAGTCCAGCTTGACGCAATAAGCCTCCTCCTTGCCCTATACGTATGAGTATACACAGACAGTGTATATATGTATGTATGTATGTATGTATGTATGTCTCTCTCTCTCTCTGTGCGTGTGTGGCCTTCTCTTCCTCCGTCTCGGTCTTTCCCTCGAGAGGTGTGGCTCCCTTCATCACTCGCCAACATGGCCTCTTCCGCTCCGGGTGCCATCCGATCTGGGGGCTGATGGGGATGGGAATGATGGAGATTGGAAATCAGAGAGCTCGACACTGGAGTGGGCGTTGTGAGGGTATGGTTCAACTTGAATCGCTTGGGTGGGTCGGCTTTGTTATGGCTGTAGTTGCCGGTGGCGGCTTGGGCTGTCTGTGCGGGACGGCGCGGGATGGTGCAGAATGAATGGAGTACGCTGTCTGTCTCGAGTTGCACCATCGCCACCACGCCAAGTTATGGATCTGTCATGGGTATTCCATGGATCTGTAATGATGGTCTTCTTCTGCCTTCTTCGCCGTCTTGCCCATCAGAGCAGACCTTGGCGCGGACGGACGCGCTACCACCGTTCCCACATCGCACCGCACTCATCCAACCCAGCGACCACTCTTTCCCGTTCCCCTTTTCTCTGATCAGCACTCTTCCAGCAATGCTCATGCCAGTAATGGGCCCGATTCGCTCCTAATCAGCCAAAGGATCAGTCGTACGACGAGTGCCCGTCCCATGGCCGAGTGACGCAAACAGCTTTTGGTTCAAGTGAGTTGATTATGAACCGAGGCGACCACCGAGTGGCGACAGCGACAGCGACAAGCCACACGTCTCGCAAGAAGGGCATGCCGCGCAGCCGGAGCCAGAAGGACGGAGACCCGTACACCCGCCGTGGGGGGAAGGTATGTGCGAAGAGGAAGGAGGAGAAGGGTGTGTGTGTGTGTGTGTGTGTGTGTGTGTGTGTGTGTGTGTGTGTATGTGTGGGAGGGTGTAGGGGTGGGGGCCAATGGCGGGAGGGCGGGGAAGGCTTGGATGCTCCCTTGGGCAGGGGGCGGGAAAGGGGAGGGGAGGGGGAGGGGGGGGAAGGGGTATTGAGTGAGGGAGAGGCAGATGGTATGGAGCCAATGTGGTTGTATGGTGGTATGGAGATGTGCGGTGGTGGTGGGTATTGTCTTTGTGTGGAGCGGATGGGTGGTGGTGGTGGTGGTGGTAGTGGTGGTGGGCGGGAGGAGGCATTTGGTGAGCGATTTTGCGGGGAGTGGGGCAAGTGGAGGTGGGTATGGCTGAGGAGAAGGGGACTGACTGACATGGCATGGTGTGGATGGATGGCGGGATATAGGGCTTTCTGGCACATGTGTTTGACTTTATTGGCTCGTCGGTCAAGACCTCTATTGCTTCGATCACAAGCTCGGAGGAGGCCAATGCTGAGCTGGCGGCGGCGGCGGTGGTGGCGGCCGAGTCTGCGGTCGGCCCGCCGGTAGCGCCGTCAAAGCGTGCTACTATTCCGGCGGCCAAGGTGTCGCCCGGGCCTACAGTGCCGGGTGTGGTAGCGGTTCAGACGCCGGCTGTGGCCAAGGCTGTGACAGCGCCGGCGGCCTCGACGGCTGCGCCCATGGTGACCGGGTCGTCGTCGGGCGAAGCTGCGATGGTGGTGGCCAAGGACCCATTCCTGGACGCGCTGCTGGACAAGCATCTCGATGGAATCACGCCAGAGCAGGCATCGCGGTACTCGCAGATTCTGATGCATTCGGCACAGCGCAACTCGCGCGGCGGCGGAGGCATGGCCTCGTCGTCGGCTGCAGCAGTGGCTGCGCTGCCGATGGCGACGCCGCTGACGACGACGCCGTTCCGGTTTGGCGCCAACGCCCCGTTTGGGTCGGGCATGCCGTCGACCATCAAGCCGAACCGCACGCTGTTCTCCACATCGGGCTTTTCGCTTCTGCCGGAGACGCCGCGCGAGAGCGGTCGCGGGCTGTCGATGGATACGCTGGCCAGCAACAGCAAGGCCAGTGCTAGAAAGGTTGGGCGCAAGCGGGAGCGGTCGCCGTCGGGCTCGCCCCAGGCCGCGCCTCAGTCGGCCGGCGCTCCGGCGTCGCAGCCGCTCACCCTTGACGACGTCCGCCACCGGACGGCGATTATTTCCGGATCGCGTCCAGCTAAGCGTGTTCGGCTGATGAACAAGAAAGCTGCGCCGGGAGGCGACGCCCGGGTCCGCCGCCGTGCCACTGCCGCGCCGGCGTCGTCGACCGCTCGGCACATCCTCAGCACGCTCTCGACGCCGCTCAACGACGCGCGGCGGTCTGCGCGCGCCAAGCCGCTGGCTCCGACCTCGACTACTTCGCCACTGATCACCCGCCGCCGCGCGCTGCTCCGCCGTCAGTCGTCGCTGCTGGCCACCAAGTCGGCAGCGTCGCTCAAGCGGACCCGTGACAACACCGACCAGGACGAATCACAGTCGGGTGGCTTCCCGACCCGTTCGCTGCTCGACCTTCCGAAGCCACGACGCCGGCCACCAAGCGCGCCAAACTCCGCGCCAACGACGTCGACTCTGATGCGGTCCATTCGTTCTCGTCAAAGCAGTTTGCAGCTGAGGCGAGTGCGGCGCCGACGCAAGCCGCTCCGGCCAAGGCCGAGCCTGCCAAGGCGGCGCCGGCTAAGACCGGCTTTAGCATCTCGAGCATGGCTTCCAAGAAGAAGCCGGCCAGCTCTGGTTTCTCGATGCCCAAGTCGACCAAGAGCGACGCGGCCAAGCCCAAGTCGTCGGGCGGGCCGTCGTTCTCCATTTCCGCGCTGGCCAAGAAGCCCAAGCCTGCGGCCGACAAGGCCGGCGCTTCGTCGGACGAGACTTGGAAGTGCATGGCGTGCACGATGGACAACAAGAAGGGCATTGCGGCGTGTGCCACGTGTACGACGCCGAACCCGGCTGCAAAGAAGAACAAGCTCGCCGGGTGGGGCAAGCCTGCCCCGGCCAAGGCTGCCGACGACAAGGCCGGCGCTTCGTCGGACGAGACTTGGAAGTGCATGGCGTGCACGATGGACAACAAGAAGGGCATTGCGGCGTGTGCCACGTGTACGACGCCGAACCCGGCTGCAAAGAAGAACAAGCTCGCCGGGTGGGGCAAGCCTGCCCCGGCCAAGGCTGCCGACGACAAGGCCGGCGCTTCGTCGGACGAGACTTGGAAGTGCATGGCGTGCACGATGGACAACAAGAAGGGCATTGCGGCGTGTGCCACGTGTACGACGCCGAACCCGGCTGCAAAGAAGAACAAGCTCGCCGGGTGGGGCAAGCCTGCCCCGGCCAAGGCTGCCGACGACAAGGCCGGCGCTTCGTCGGACGAGACTTGGAAGTGCATGGCGTGCACGATGGACAACAAGAAGGGCATTGCGGCGTGCGCCACGTGTACGACGCCGAACCCGGCTGCAAAGAAGAACAAGCTCGCCGGGTGGGGCAAGCCTGCTCCGGGCAAGACCGAGAGCAAGACCGAGGACAATGTCGAGGTCAAGGCGGAGAGCAAGGCCAAGGGCGATGGCTCGATCACGTCCCAGTTTTCGTTCGGCTCCAAGACGGCTCCAAGACGATGACTACTACCTTTGCTGGGTTCAAGCCGGGCGCTCAGGGCGAAAAGATCAAGGTCGTGGTGGAGGATCGCAAAGGACGACAACGCCGAGTTTGCGCCCAACGCCATGGAGTCGGAGTCTGACGACGAGGGAAGCTCCAAGTCTGCGCCTAAGGCCAAGTTCTCGTTTGGAGGCATTTCAAGCGCGGCGTCAAAGCTGAAGGCGACCGTGGCCAAGCACAAGAAGGCCAAGGACGATGCCGAGTCGAGCGGAAGGCACGCCAAGGGCAAGGACGATACTGAGGTCGATCTGCTTGACGAAGTGCCCGACGATCTCAAGAAGCTCATCGGCAAGGCGCCCAAGCCCAGCTCGGGCATCTCCATCTCGTTTGGCTCCAAGGCCACGAGCAGTGACAAGGCCAAGGACGACGCTGACAAGAAGAAGGGCGGTGCCGGCGGGTTCACGTTCGGCAAGCCCAAGGCCAAGGACGAGTCTGGCGAGGGCGCTGACGACAAGGCCAAGGACGACGCCGGCAAGAAGAAGAGCGGTGCTGGCGGGTTCACGTTTGGCAAGCCCAAGGCCAAGGACGAGTCTGGCGAGGGCGCTGACGACAAGGCCAAGGACGACGCCGGCAAGAAGAAGAGTGGTGCCGGCGGGTTCACGTTCGGCAAGCCCAAGGCCAAGGGCGAGTCTGGCGAGGGCGCTGACGACAAGCCCAAGGCCAAGGCGAAGACGCCGAGCATGGGCAAGTTCTCGTTTGGCAAGCCAGCCAGCATCGAAAGTGATCTGGCCAGCAAGGCCGAAAACAAGACCCAGGAGAAGCCAAAGGCGGCGCCGGCTGCGGCGCCGGCTTACAAGCCGCTGAAGAAGGCGTCCAAGGAGCGGCTCCGGCAGCAGGCCAACGAGGCGGCGTTCAAGGAGGACGGCTTTGCGCCATCGGCGTTCGAGGGCGAGAAAAAGGCCGAGGAGAAGCCAAAGGCGGCGCCGGCTGCGGCGCCGGCTTACAAGCCGCTGAAGAAGGCGTCCAAGGAGCGGCTCCGGCAGCAGGCCAACGAGGCGGCGTTCCAGGAGGACGGCTTTGCACCGTCAGCGTTTGAGGGCGAGAAGAACGAGACCAACGCCGACGTGACCGCTGAAAAGGAAAAGCTGAAGGCCAAGTTTGGCAAGACCGAGTCTGCGTTTGGCAAGGGCTCGAGCTTTGCAAGCAAGAAGATTGCGTTTGGCAAGAAGGCCGATGGCGAGGCGAGCAAGTCGTCCGAGCCGGGTAAGTTTGCCTTTGGCAAGCCGAGCGCCGCGGCCAAGCCGGCCGCGGCCGCGGCCAATCCCGCAGACGCCGAGGCGTCGACGCCCAAAGCCAAGCGGTTTGCCTTTGGCAACCAGAACAAGTCGGGCGAGAAGAAGGCTATGCAGCGGTCGGACGGCTCAGCTATGTACGTGTTCGGAGGGAGCAAGCCAAAGCCGGCGACGACTGACCCACCGGCAGCGACGGCGGCGGCTCCGGCCGCCAGCGCTACGCCGTTCTCCACCGGCATTTCCAGCCAGCCCAAGGGCTTTGGCCAGTCGAGCAGCAATGCAAAGCCGAACCCGTTCGGCGCGCCGCCTGCCATGCCGGCGTTCGGTGGCGGCTCCAAGCCTGCGTTTGGCGCCGGCGCAAGCGGCGGCAACCCGTTTGCACCGGCGGCGCCGCCCAAGCCTGCATTTGGTGGTGGCGGCGACGGCAACCCGTTTGCACCGGCGGCGCCGCCCAAGCCTGCGTTTGGCGGCGGCGGCAGCAATCCGTTTACACCGGCGGCGCCGCCCAAGCCTGTGTTTGGTGGTGGTGGGGGCGGCAACCCGTTCTCGCCGGCGGCGCCGCCCAAGCCCGCGTTTGGTGGCGGTAGCGGTGGCGGCGGAGCGTTTGGTGGTGGCGCGTTTGGCGGCGGCAACAGCGGCGGCGGCGTGTTTGGCGGCAACAGCGGCGGTGGCGCGTTTGGCGGCAACAGTGGCGGAGGCGCGTTTGGCGGCGGCAACAGCGGCGGTGGTGCGTTTGGCGGCGGCAACAGCGGCGGTGGTGCGTTTGGCGGCGGCAACAACGGCGGTGGTGCGTTTGGCGGCGGCGGCAACAGCGGCGGCGGCGCGTTTGGCGGCGGCAACAGCGGCGGCGGCGCGTTTGGTGGCGGCAGCAGCGGCGGAGGCGCGTTTGGTGGCGGCAACAGCGGCGGTGGCGCGTTTGGTGGCGGCAGCAGCGGCGGCGGAAGTGGCAGTGCTTCTAACATCGGCATCCCGCTCGCCGACCCTGAGACGCTGGCCAAGCGCAAGAAGGTCAAGGTCCGCTATAAGCGCCGTTAAGCGAGCACCATGATAAACGTGACGTGTAATCTCAATTCGATGTACGGGCTCTTGTGCAGTGTGCGTAGCCGGCGGCAGGTGATCGGGTTGTCTGGCCGGTGGCGAGAGGAGGCCGAGCTACACCCCCGCCAAGCTACCCACCCCCGCCAAGCTACCCACCCCCGCCAAGCTGCCCACCCCCGCCAAGCCCTCTCTCCAGAGTCAGACCACTATGGTACGTGGTGTGTGTGTGTGTGTGTGTGTGTGTGTGTGTGTGTGTGTGTGTGTGTGTGTGTGTGTGTGTGTGTGTGTGGGGACGAGGAGGGAGGGTGGGGTGGAGGGAAGGGGAAGGGCTCGGGTGGGCTGGGTGGTCGGGCTCCCCCTCTCCGTGGCTTGATCGGTGTCGGTCTCACTGTTGAGCGGAGAATTGTGATGGCCGGGTGCTGGGTTGGTTGTGCGATGGGCTGATGATCGATGGGCTGTGCGATGGGCTGTGCGATGGGCTGATGATCGATGGGCTGTGCGACGGGCTGATGATGGATGCGCTGGGTGACTGCCTTGAGACCACAGTCGGCTCTGCTCAACTTCCAATCGCTGCTCTTTGTGGTGCTCCTCTTCATCTGCACCTGCGCATACATCAGAGCATATCGCCCACAGCTCATCGATGCTAACAAGACCGGCGTCTTTGGCATGGCGTTCAAAGCTGCGCGCATAGGTGAGCGGCTATCGCCGTGGGTCTCGCTCTCCTGCATTGCTATGGCTGGCTACATCCTCTTCGTCGACTCTCGCTAACCCCAGAGCACTGCTCGAATGTTATCGCATGATCTCAACATCAATATGCTGTCCAGTGCCACCTGTTTGCGGACGCCGCCATCAGGACGCAACCTGATACAAACACCGCTGGGAGTCAGCCTCTCCCTACTCGCCTAGCCTGCTCGTCACGGACAAGGACGCAGCTGGCGATGCGCCGCATACCGGCCATCTCCCGCGCTGGCCGGGAATAATCAACCCCATGGCATAAAGACCAATCGTAGCATGGCGAGGCAGTCCGGGCTGGTGGTCGGGCGAGGCGGGCTGGCGTCAGGCTTGCGGTGTCCGGCGTCCTGGGTGTGGACCTGACTGGCTCTGCTGGGAGAGTACTCGACTGTGCTGGAGGCGGGGTTTTCAAGGCAGGGAGCAGGTTGAGTATGCTTGCGCTTGTGTTTGTCTTTGTGCTGATGGACGTCCTTGGCTTTGCACTCGTTCTTCCGTTGCTGCCGTACCTGGTGTCCGAGCTTGCGGCGCCCCCGTCGCTGGTGGGCACACTGCTGACGGCCAACGCGGCGGCTCAGCTGGTGGGTGCGCCTCTGCTGGGCTCGATGTCAGATACCATTGGTCGCCGGCCGGTCCTCATCTTTGCCGCCTGCTGGACGTGTATCTCGTTTGCCCTGCTCGCGGTGAGCTCCTCGCTTGCCATGGCTCTCGTCTCACGGGTGCTGGACGGTCTGCTCGGCGGCGATGTCTCGCTAGCTCTGGCGTACGTCTCGGACATCACGACCGAGGAGAACCGGGCGCGTGGCCTCGGCGCGGTTGGTGCCGCCTTTGGCCTTGCTTTTATCCTCGGCCCGGTCATCGGCGGCGTGCTTGTCTCGTACTCGCTGATGGCGCCGGCGCTGCTGGCGTCGGCCATTGCTGCGGCCAACGCTCTCGGGCTCTACTTTTGGCTCCCCGAGTCGCTGGCGAAGAAGCCTGCTGCTGACGAGAGCGCGACAGGTGGGCTGGCGAACATCTCGCGATGGGATCCGCTGGCATTGCTGCGCGGTGCGCTGGCGGAGACCGGTCTTGCGCCGCTGCTGATCCTCCGCACGGGGTACTCGTTCATGTTTATTGCGTGGGAGGCCATGTTTGCCACCCACTACAAGTCGGTCTACGAGCTCCCAGCGCGGACCGTCTCGTGCATCTTGGGTCTCGTGGCGCTCATGTACGCTGCTGTACAGGGCGGGGCCATTGCGGCGCTGACGAAGCGGACGCGGCCCGAATTGCTTGTGACCGTCAGCCTGGCGGCGATGGGCGCGGCTCTTGGCCTATGGCTTGCACCGCTGCCGCTGGCGATATCGCTTGGCGCCATGGCGATCTTTGGCCTCGCCTCGGGCGTTGCCAACACTCTGCTCAACGCGCTCATCTCGGTCCAGGTCCCGCGGCACCGGTTCGGTTCGGCGCTCACGCTCTCGTCGGCGCTCGGCTCGCTGGTCCGGGTTCTTGCTCCCTCGGTTGTTGCGCTCTCGTTCCAGCTCACCGGCTCACACCTGGCGGCCATAGGCCTTTGCGCGGCCATCGGCCTCGCCGCGTCTGCCTACGCCCGCTCGGTCTTTGCGCCGGCCAAGCCGCATGTTGATTAAAGCCCCCAAGGCATGCGATCGGAGGCTGGGTCGTACCCAAGCGCTTAGCGAGACGCAAAGGTGGTGGCAGTGGCTGTTGTTGACGTTTGGGCGAGTGGGCGAGCCGGCGGGGCTGTGAGGCTGCGAGCGGGCAAGTGGGCAAGCAGGCGTCTGACCCGATGTCCGCCAACGACCGACCGGCGCCGTCGCGACAACACACCACTCTGCACAGGCATGTCGTACAAGTACGTCTTCCCCTCTCCTCCCTCCTCCCAACCTGCTTGCACCCTTCCACCACTCACCTGACCACCTTCTCCTCCCCCCCTCCCCTCCCCATCACCAGCTACCTGTTCAAGGTAAGTGACATAGGCAACGCGGCGGGAGGAGGAGGAAGCCACACGCGCGGTGTGGCAAGCCTTCCCTTCGTGACGACATGACAGTCGGGGGGGAAAGAGAAGGGACAGAGGCCAATGTGGTTCGTAGGAGGGGAGGGTGGGTGGGTATGGTGCACCGTAGGTGGTCTTTGTTGGTCTTGTGGTCTTGGTGTGGGTGTGGGTGTGTGGGTTGGTGTGTGGCTGGTCGGTCGGGCGGCTGTCGTCGGTAATCGATGATGATGATGATGATGGGCATTCGTTCGGTGGTGGTGACGGTGTGGATGGAACACAGGATCCAAAAATTTGGCCGATTTGTGGAAGGACACGGGGGTGAAGGGGTGATCGGGGTACGAGACAGGGAACTCATGGATGGAGACTTGCATGTGGGGTGCTTCTATTCATGTTATGCGACGGATGGGAAACGGCGGCATAGTACATCATCATCGGAGACACGGGCGTGGGCAAGTCGTGCCTGCTACTGCAGTTTACCGACAAGCGGTTCCAGCCGGTGCATGATCTGACGATCGGGGTCGAGTTTGGCACACGGACGATCACGCTTGATGGCAAGGAGGTGAAGCTGCAAATCTGGGATACGGCGGGGCAGGAGGCGTTCCGTAGCATAACCCGGTCGTACTACCGTGGAGCAGCGGGCGCGCTGCTGGTGTACGACATTACGCGGCGGGAGACGTTCAACCAGCTTGAGACGTGGCTGGAGGACGCGCGGCAGCATTCGAACGCCAACCTGACCATCATGCTCATTGGCAACAAGTCGGACCTGTCGCACCGGCGCGCTGTCTCGCGGGAGGAGGGCGAGGCGTTTGCCGAAAAGTACGGCCTCGTCTTTATGGAGACCTCGGCCAAGACCGCCGACAACGTCGAGAGCGCCTTTATCGGCACTGCACAGACCATCTACGAGAAGATCAAGAACGAGGAGTTTGACCCGGACACCAACGGCGTCAAGGTCGGCCCGTTGCAGAGCGGCGGTTCGGGCGGCTACGGCGCAGGCCCGTCCACAACCGCCAAGAAGGGCTGCTGCTAGCCTGCATCTTCGGGCGCAGATTGCAGCGTGATGGTGAAGATAATGGCAACGATGACGGTGTGGGGGTGCTTTACTACGAAAAAAAGAAGACGTGGCCGGTATGAGTGGACATCTCTGCTGTTGTGTACCATGTGTGTGCGTGTGCGTGTGCGTGTGCGTGCTGTGAGTAGAGGGTGTGCATGGGCGCTCGTGGCACCAGGGAAATCTTTGGCGGTCAGGGACAGGCTTTGCAGGCCTGGGGAACGTTGTATCGTCACTGAAATCAGACTGACGTGCAATTCCAATCATCACTCCACCCTCTCAACCACCCTCCACTCTCTCGCACTAGTTGTACGTACCCATAAACAAGCTTCTGCTGACAACAGGCGGGAGAAATCCATCGCACATGCAAACACAAAAATTCGAGACTTGGACCACACCGCCTCGAATATATTGCCGCCATCCCCCACACCCACACCCTCCCTCGCTCCTCACCCGGCCAGCCAGTCAGCCAGCCTATCCACCCCGCCCCGACGCCCCGACCACCGGACCGCCCCCCCCCCCCCCCCCCCTCCCCCACATCTCCCCTCTTCCCCGCCTCCCCTACAACGTGAGCCCAAAAAACCAAAACACGGCCAGAG